AGCTTCCCAGGCAGCGTGAGTTCCAAAAGCTACCAGACTGAAGTCTGCAAAGGGATGTCGGACTGCCCGGTGTCTCACCATGTGGCACAGGCACATTCTCCTCTCTGCTTCCCAGCTCTGTGCGCTGAGGACTGGCCTAGCTTTGAAACCCCAGCAGGTGCTCAGCCGCTGTGGCTCTGTGGATGGAGCGACGTCCCATGGACTGAGACTTCCCGGTTGATTCCCAGTTAGAGCACATGTCTGGGTTGCGGGCTCAATCCCCAGTAGGGGGCGTGCAGGAGGCAGCTGATTGATGTTTCTCTCTCACATCAATGTTTCTCTCTCTCCCTAGAAAATCAATAAAAAGATATTAAAACCCCTGGGGGTGGGCAGAGAATGCCTACTGGGAGCTCCTGCTAGGTGTGAATGGCTGCCTGTCTTGTCCAGTGGGCTCACGTCTGGAAGGTTCCAGAATATCAGGAGGAAGCCGCCAGCTTCGGAGAAGGGGCATTTTCCACTCTGCAGGCTCCTGTCACCTTTGGCTTCCTTCTGGTCAACTCAGCAACACACCCATAAATTTACCCCTCGTCATCGCTACACACGATGATGCCGTTTCAAGCATTTACCGAGGGATAAGGCCTGTTGGCGTCTAAACAGATTCTATATCCTTGCTCCTCTTCTACTGATGGGAGAAGAATTCTGGTGTTTGGCCACTTTTCATTGTTTTGGTATTTTTCCGTCTCCGGAAAGTTCTGTCCCATAGCCCCACCACAGTGAGGCCAAATTTCATTAAAGCCCAGGCAGCTGAAGAATGAAGTTCAAAAGAACGGAGAGGCTCATGGGAAATACACACACGTGTAACTTCAATGGTCTTACCAGCCTTCCGCCTCTTGGGGACTTCAACACAATTTAAAACCATAACGGATATGCTCACATTTCTAGGCCTCTTTCCCTCAGGCTGTCCAGACTGGGTTATTTTCCTTAAATGCTCTCTAGGGCCTTTTAAAAGGTAAACTGAGGCACACCGAAAATTCCAAGGGTGTATTCCAGCAAACACTGATTTCCAGTTGGGCAGGGCAGGCCCCAGGACTGGAGCTGAGCACAGGTTTCCATAGAGATGCAGAAGCAGAGTGGGGAAGTGATTGGATTGGCTGTGGCTTCAGCAGTGGGCTGTGATTGGCTGTTCTGGAGTTTCATTGTCTTGGATTTGAGTGCCCCGATTGATTTACGTAGAGTCAGCCCAGGGCAGTGGGCTCCTTGTGTAATTATGTTAACTCACCATTGTGGAAGGAGGAGGTGTTCAATTCTGGGGATCTCTGCAGGGCACAGTGGAGTTTTAGGGCCCGTCCTGCCCTTGGCCCTGCCCTGCCCCGCCCCACCCAGTCAGGTGGAGCAGCAAACTTGAGCCACATGAGGCATTGTGCTGGAGACTTAACACTCTCAAGAGAAAGGCTTGCCTGCCCCCCCCCCCCCAGGGGGGGGTTCTCTGCTGAGGAACCAGAGAATCTGGGAGTGGGGTGGTTAGGAAGGGCAGGAAAGAGCTCAAAGGAGAGGGGGCTTGGAGGCCTCCCAACCACCCAAAAACCACCTGAGGGAATCTTCTAGATTCCAAACACATCCTTCATTAGCCACGAAGGGAACTGGCTTCTGTCTGCTCTCCCTGAAGACGGATTGGCCTGTGCCACCTTCCAGGCGTCAGCGGTAGCGAGGGGGCAGGGGAGCAGTGTAGTCGGACCAGTCTCATAAGTAAGTCACTGTCCGTTCATTGAAACACAACCAAACCCAAGAAGCTTTCATTCCCAAACCAGTCACATGGGATTTCCCCTGGCACAAACTGAGTGCATTAGATACAAAGTATAGATAATTCATAATTTAATATCCACGCTAGGCACAGAATATTTCTCATCAGATGATGAGGGCCTCAAATAAGACCATTAAGGGACCAAGGAGCCCAGCTGGTGTGGCTTGGTGGACTGAGCGTCATCCCATGGACTGAGAGGTCCCAGTTCCATTCCCGGTCAGGGCACATGCCGGGGTTGTGGGCCCAGTCCCCAGTAGGGGGCGTGCAGGAGGCGGCCAACTGATGTTTCTCTCTCACATCGATGTTTCTCTCTCTTCCTCTCTCTCTAAAATCAACAAAAACATACTTTTTATTGAACGTGCTTTAATAGCTAAGAAGAAGAGCAAGCAAAGGAAGCTACCCCAGGGCCGTCCCCTCTTCTGCTAAGTGTCAAGACAATTTCCCAGCTACAGGAAGGGGCTCCCGTGGCAATCTGTTCCCCGGAGAAGCAGTGTGTGTTCTGAGAGCTTTAACACTGAGAAGCAGCACTGCATACCCACTGCAGACCCCTCTATTGTGTGTGTGTGTGTGTGGGGGGGGGGGTCATCAAACACAGCTTGGCTTAAATAACTTTAAGAGAAACAATTATGCCCTGGCCGGTTTGGCTCAGCGGTTAGAGCGTTGGCCGGCAGACCAGAGAGTCCCAGTTTGGTTCCCGCTAAGGGCACGTATCTCAGTTGCAATATGTCCCTGGTCCCTGTTGGGGTCGTATGGGTGGCAATCACTCGATGTGTCTCTCTCACATCGATGTTTCTCTCTCTCTCTCTCCCTCCTGCTCCGTCTGAAGATGGATGCAAAAATGTCCTTGGGTGAAGATAAAAAAAAAAAAAAGAGTAATGATTACGTTAAAATGTCTTTACCACAACCCAGCTGGTGTGGCTCAATGGATTGAGCATCATGCCATGGACTGAGAGGTCCCAGTTCGATTCCCAGTCAAGGCACATGCCCAGGTTGTGGGCTCAATTCTCAGTAGGGGGCGTGCAGGAAACAGCTGATCGATATGTGTGTGTGTCTCTCTCTCCCTTCCTCTCTATAAAAATCAATAAAATATATATATTTTAAAAATTGTCTTCGTCATGGATTATGAGAAAACTAGAGAGTGTGGCACACAAATCTCAGAGGAACCAAAGTTGAACCCCTCAGACAGCTGAAGTTATAGGGCCATCACCTAACCCAAATTCTAAGGAAGGACAGACTCCCCATGGAAAGACATGAGGACCTGCTCACCTAGGGCAGCTACAGTCACACACCAGCTCTAGTGGTAAAGGTGGACAATATGGAAGCCCATGCAGGTAATTTAGCCAAGAGATGGAAGCAATAAAGAAGAGTCAAGGGAAATGCTTGAAATAAAAAGCACAGTGATAGTCTTTGATAGGCTCATCCATGGACTGGACCCAGCTGAGGAGAAAATGACTGAGTGGGGTTTACCTTAGGAATGAATGCAAGGTTGGTTCACCATTCGAAAGTCAACCAATGTGATTCACCAGATAGTAGACTAAAAAAGAAAAATTATCTAAATATCTGAGTAGATGCAGGAAAATGCTTGGACAAATCCAACGTTCATTCATAATACAAACTCTCAGAGCCCTGGCTGGTTTGGCTCAGTGGTTAGAGTGTCAGTCTGGGGACCAGAGGGCCTTGGGTTTGATTCCTGGTCAAGGGGCATGTTCCTGGGTTGCAGGTTCGATCCGCGAACCTGCTCGGGGTCATGCGGGAGGCGACCAGTTGAAGTGTCTCTCTCACATCAATGTTTCCCTCTGTCTCCCCCCTTCCCTTCCACTCTATCTGGGAATCAGTGGAAAAATATCCTCGGATGAGGATTAACAACAACAACAAAAAATCCACTCAAAAAACTTGGAATGGATCTATCTATGAGAGACTCCAGAACAGCAAGATTCCCCAGGGAGTGGTCGGATTTTGCAGGAGGTAGTGGTTGCACTGTAATTATAACGACCTACTGTCTTGTGCTTTCCAGGAGCTGACTCCGGAGTTGTCTGATGAGAGCTCAGAGTGAGCGCGGCTGGCCACATCCTCACCCCGGAAGGGCTGGCAGGCCACTGTGGGCCTCAGAACGCCCAGGGCACAGTAAGACAGAAATCGAGCCTGTGATCCAACAAGAAACACACTGCGTGGAAGGGAATGGAGCCTTGAGTGTGCACCTGGGATTCCCGGACCTGGCTGGGTCTCTCACTGGTAGGCTGCTGGGGCCATTGAACTTGGACCATCCTTCCCTGGGAAACAAGTTTTCTGGCACACCGTCTCCTGAACTTTAGGCACACCCTCTATCTCTGTCACTGCATGTTTGCCAACTGGTTCCACAGTGCGCTGGAGTGAACAGGGAGCTCATCTGCCCCCAGTGGTCAGCCTTGCCAGTGTGCCAGGTCACACCTTTGGAGGGCCAATCACAGGCACCCAATTTCAGAGGGCAACACCCCTTTCTCCCCAGACTCCAGGGTGGCTCTCTGGGGTCTCCAGTCTCCTACACACCGTGTTCCCTACACACATACAACAGAGCTCCTTACATACTGTAAACACAACTGTATCTCAACCAAGGTGTCCTGTGACCACTGACTTTCAGAGAGATTTTCAGAGAGAGTGGAAGGGAGGGAGGGAGAGATAGCGAGAGAGAGAAAAAGAGAGAGAGACATCGATGTGAGAGAGACACGTTGATTGGTTGCCTCCTGCATGACCCTGACCAGGGCTGGGAATCAAACCTGCAACCAAGGTACCTGCCCTTGACCAAGAATCGAACCTGAGACCCTTTGGTTCCCGGGCCGATGCTCTAACCACTTAACCAAACCAGCCTGGCTCCAGATTTCTTTAAAAAGGCAATATCAATCGCCATCTGTTCCCAGATGGCAGGACAGCAAAAATGTCAGAAACGCAGGAGAATGCGTCACATCCACATTTGTCAAGAGCTTTCCCACCCGCTCATATCCCACCCACTCCACATATGTCTGCGGCAGGAAAGCGAAATGGTACAAACGGGAAGCGAGAGAGAGAAAAAAGCAACCCCTCCAAGTGGAGATCTATCACCCTTTAAAAACGTTCCCGGGAGAGAGAGTCCCTCTCGCATTAAATCGACCGGGCGAATCACGCGCGAAGGGAAGCACGCGCGAGGGAAGTGGCTGGACCGTCTGCAGCGCACGGGACCGGGAGCGGCGGCGCGCGGGGCGGGCACCTTGAGCGTCAGGCGCACGGCGTTGCAGTCCTCCTGCAGCGGGTTCAGCTTCAGCGTCTCCCCCAGGTTGCTGCAGCCGGTGGACCGGCGCTGAGTCTCGCAGCAGACACACACCTCGACACTGTCGAACTTAATCTAGACAGGGGAACACACAGACGGCTCCAATTAGCACTGCGGCGGCCCCAGCGGGGCGCGGTTGCAAACGCGCCTTGGCTCAAAGCCTCCCGTTGTAGGTTATGTCATGAGGCCCAAACGGTTGCTTGGTGTTGGCACAAACCATGGAAAACATCAGGAGGGTTGACTTCAAATGTCTGTTTTAAAAGCAACTGATACGCCCAGGATGGTTTGGCTCAGCGGGTAGGGCATCGGACCGCAGACCAATGAGTCACGGGTTCGATTCCAGCCAAGTTGTCTGGCCTTGGTTGGGGCCCTGCAGGAGACAGCCATTCGATGTGTCCCTTTCACATCAATGTTTCTCACTCTGTCTCTTTCTCCCTCTCCCTCCCACTCTATCTGAACAAAAAGGTGGAAAAATGTCCTTGGGTGAGGATAAAAAATAATAATAATAATAATAAAATAAAAACAATTGATACAAAAGAAAAAATAAATGCAAAAAAACCGAAGCTAGACAGAGATAAAAGTCAATGAACCGAAGCTAGACAGAGATAAAAGTCAATGATGGGAAAATTCATTGCAGAGCTGTGCACAGGGACATGTCCTCATAGCTCTGTACCTGGCACATTCCCATCTCACTTTATGACCTATCAAACTCCTATTCATCCCTCAAGACCCAGGGACTCCTGCTCCATCCTCAAGGCTTTCTCTGGTTTGGCCTTTCCCTTTGCTTCTCCGAGCGCCACTTCTGCTGCACATCGATTTTATCCAGCTAGACTTCCCTGTGTCTGTGTGCTCCCCGAGGGCAACCACCACATCTCCCCACGACAGTGTTCACAATGCCGCGCGGCTGTGGGCCTCCCATACATGCTGAATAAATAAAAAGCCTTGGAACATTCAGAACCATGGACAGGGGGAAAATGCAATTCAGGTGTTGTTTTTTTTTGAAAGCCTGGAAACCAGGGGGAGACCCACAGAGGACGCCTGACCGACCTGCCAAAGTGAAGCAGCCTCAGCCGGGTTCCAGAAGGAGTGTGAAACCTGTCCCTCAGCCACAGCCACGCACCCTGTCACCTCCTCAGGCCTGGCAAGTCCCTCACCCGCACCCCCAGCGGCTCACACAGACTTCCGGCAGAGTGAAATAAGGAAGGGACAGCCTCAGACCAAGAGGACGGTCCACGGCCCAATTTTCATCTTCTGCGAACCTCTGGAGAGTTTATCCTTGCCCCACTCTAGGCTTCTTTAAATTTAATCTTCTAAAAGAATCCTGACTGGCCCGGCCAGTGTGGCTCAGTGGTTGAGCGCCAGACCCTGCACCAAGAGGTCGCCTGTTCGATTCCCGGTCAGGGCACATGCCCAGGTCGTGGGCCCGATCCCCAGTGGGGGGCATGCAGGAGGCGGCCAATCGATGTTCTCTCTCATCGATATTGCTCTCTCTCCCTCCCTTCCTCTCTCTCTAAATTTGAGAGTCTGAACAATCAATAAAGAAAACATTTTTAAAAAGAATCCTGATCTTATTTCTAGATGTCTATACTGTCCTGTAAAGATTGCACACATCTGCCCAGGGTCCAGGGACCAGAAGGGCTGGAGGCCTGGGCCGAGGAGGGCGGGGCCTGCACACACCCCTGCCCCAGGCCTTGGCCCGATCACCTCTGAGCAGCAGACACTCCGGTTTCCACAGGGGGCAGGAACTGAGGCCCTGGAGGCACTGTCCACAGCCCAGGGTCAGCAGGTCAGCCCACGCGTGGCCGGGGCTCCGGCCAGTTGAGGACGGGGTTTCTCTCAAAGCTGTTCTGCACTGCGATCTGGGCCATCTCTGCTTTCCTGGCTGTGCAGCCTCCACACCCGGCCATCCTGAAGCCTGGGAGCTCCTGGGTCCTGGATAATTGCTTCTAGGTGAAGCCCACCTTGAGTTGGTTCCTTCGCAACTCAGAACCCTGACTGGGACCATCAGGGCAGGTACACAGACTGCTCTTCCCCAAGGAATGCACGCCACGTGTGCTGTATGCCAACGAGAATCCCAACAGAGTACGCAGAACTGGACAAAACTATCTTAGTGATGTTATGGAGTAATACATTATTAGCGTTCAGAAAACGTGAAAAAGAGTGATCGTGGGAAGAGCAGATGCCCGAACCAATAGAATCAAAACACCAGGGCAACAGCTTACAAACAGGTAAAGAGCCCTGGCTGGTTTTGCTCAGCAATTAGAGCACCGGCCCATGGACTGAAGGGTTTCCAGTTCGATTCCAGGTCAAGGGAACACACCTAGGTTGCAGGTTCGATCCCCAGCCCCTGTCCAGGTCGTGCGAGAGGCAACCAATTATGTGTCTCTCTCACATCGATGTTTCTCTCTCTCTCCCTCCCTTCCACTCTATCTAAAAAATCAATGGGAAAAATATTCTCAGTTGGGGATGAGCAACAACAGCAACAAAAAACAGGTAAAGAATTCAATGCAACAGCATGGTTTCAGGAATTGAACCAATAATCTGCAGGGACTTAGTAAATGAAAAAAAAAAATACCTTTCAGTTCAGTAGGAAAAAGGGAGTTTGCTTTAAAAAGGGTGCTAACACCCTGGCTGGTTTGGCTCAACAGTTAGAGCATCAGCCCTCAGACCAAAGGGTCGCTGGTTTGATTCCTGGTCAAGGGCACATATCTGGGTTGCTGAGCGAAACCGGCCAGGGCATGTTGGCTTACTTTAAACATGCCAGTTTTTGTTTTTTTAATATATATTTTTATTGATTTTGTAGAGAGAGAGGAAGGGAGAGAGAGATAGAAATATCAATTTGAGAGAGCTACATCCATAGGCTGCTTCCTGCACACACCCCCATTGGGCATGACCGGGAATCGAACCGGGACCTCTCAGTCCATGGGGCGATGCTCAGTCCACTGAGCCACACCAGCCAGGCCTAAACGTACCGGTTTTACTTTGCTGAGAATATGTTCTTTGCTAGGAAGCTCTGGGGTTTAGAATCAACCTTCAAGAGGGCGGCTTTAGCCGTGAGATCAGTTTACGATGATGATGATGATGATGATGGCAGGTTCGGACGAAGATGAGTTAGAACAGAATGGTGTTCCTAGAAAAGGCAGAATTCGGTGTGATCATGATAAACCACGCAGGGCAGTCAAATGCTAAATTTCTTGTGAAGCCAGGAGAGGCCGAGGCTCCTCGTGGGCCATGAAGACTAGAATACAAGCGACATCTTTCAGCAGCCATGGAAGCCGGGAAGGGGGTGAGACCATAAGAAGAAGACCTTAGAGGGGCTGTGGACTTCCAGCCCGGCGTCCCTTCATCTTTCCAGACGGGCCCTCCCGACAGTCCGGCCGAAGGCCCTGTCCTCTCGTAATGTATTATTCATCACGATGGAGCTAAATCAGGGTTGCCCTGGTTACTCTGCAGCTGTGCGGAGGGCTGTGGCTGCCTCATTGGTGTTGGCTTGGTTACCGGGCATTTTCAATTTGGAGATGAGAATGTTGGTGACAAACGCAGCTACAAGACTCAAGACGGAATTCTAACAGGCTTCAGAAAGAAGGAGACAGTCACCAAATCTGCCCGTGGATGTTCACGGCAGCCTGAGCCATCGTAACCAAACCCTGGGGCTGGCGCTGATGTCCCTCAGCAGGACACGGCTAAACCAAGTGTCACATACACACACCGTGGAATTCTACCTACGATTCCAAGGAACAGGCCACACACACGGCTTGGCTGCCGCTCCATGAAACTGCGCTAAGTGGACAACGCCAGTTCCAATGGTTACATGCTGTGTTATTCCACGTGCAGACACTTTGGAAATGACAAGGGTTTAGAAATGGTGGACAGATTCGTGGTTGCCAAGAGTTCAGGATGGGGGGGTGGTGTAGTTTTAGAAAGGTTAGCATGAGGGATCCTTGTGGTATTAAAATAGTTCAGTATCTTGGCTTTGGTGGTAAATACATGAACCTAGGCGGGTGGCAAAACTGCATAAAATGCAATACACATCTTCTCACACAGACAAATAAATACGAGTGAAAATGGGGGAATCTGGATCAGAGGGGATGACTGTGTCAAAGTCAATACTGTGGTTGTGAGCTGTTACCATTGAGAGAAAACGGACAAAGTTTCATTTCTAACAACTTCACGGGAATCTACAAATTGCTCCGTAACGTTTTTCATCTCAGCTTGACTGGCCACAAGGAGCCCAGGTTAAACCTTATTCCTGGGTTTGTCTGGGAGGGTTTTTGTGGATGAGATTAGCATTTCAATCAGCGGACTTGGTAAAGTGTGAGCCAATTCTTCATAATTAATTCATTTAAATATAGTAAAAGTATAAATGGTGCACATATATGTATATATTACACATGAACATGAAATTGCATAAATATTCATATATAAATTGCTCCTTTGCTAGCCTTTCACGCAGAGCACAACGTAAGGAAACAGGGTTCAAGATTAAGACCTTTCAGCCCTGGCCGGTTTGGCTCAGCGGTTAGAGAGTCGGCCTGCGGTCTAGAGAGACCCGGGTTCGATTCCCGCTAAGGGCATGTACCTCGGTTGCAGTTTGTCTCCGGCCCTGGTGGGTCGTGCGGGTGGCAGCCACTCGATGTGTCCCTTTCACATCAATGTTTCTCTCTCTCTTCCTCTCTCCCCCTCCCACTCTACCTGAACAAAAAAAAAAAAAAAAAGACCTTTCAGGTACTAGGCTTTCTTTTGAACACAGACCTTAGGAACATCACCCCAATCCCACTGTCTCCCCCACACAGGGCCCTGCATTGGAAATTGAGGGTCAGATTAAAAACTGGCCGATCCCATGTAGATTGCCAGAGCATACCATATTCATAGCACCTAATATTTAGGAATAAAAAAGCGGACCAAGCCCAGCTGGTGTGGCTCAGTGGTTGAGTGTTGACCCTGCACCAAGAGGTTGTGGGCCAAATCCCCAGTGGGGGGCATACAGGAGGCGGCCAATTAATGTTTTCTCTCATTGATGTTTCTATCTCTCTCTCCCTCTCCCTCTCTCTCTAAAATCAATAAATAAAAAGAAAAAGAAAAAAAAAAGCTGATCAAGCCCTGGCCAGTTTGGCTCAGCAGTTAGAGCCAGTGGACCAGAGCCATGGGTTCGATTCCTGGTCAGTGGACCAGAGTCATGGGTTCGATTCCTGGTCAAGGGCATGTACCTGGGTTGCAGGTTCCATCCTTGGCCCCAGTCAGGGTTGTGCAAGAGGCAATCAATCGATGTGTCTCTCACATTGATGTTTCTCTCTCTCTCCACCCTCCCTTCCTCCTACACTATTTTTTTTTTTTCCTCACCGGAGGAAATTTTTCCATTTTTTGTTCAGATAGAGTGGGAGGAAGAGAGAGAGAGAGAGAGAAACATCGATGTGAAAGGGACACATTGAGTGGTTGTCACCCGCACGACCAACCAGGGCCAGGGACAAACCGCAACCGAGGTACGTGCCCTTAGCGGGAACCGAACCCGGGTCTCTCCGACCGCAGGCCAATGCTCTAACCACTGAGTCAAACCGGCCAGGGCCCACTCTGTTTTTTTTGTTTTAAATCAATGGAAAAATATCCTTGGGTGAGGATTTTTTTTTTTTTTTTTTTTTTATCCTCACCCGAGGACATTTTTCCATTCTTTGTACAGACAGAGTGGGAGGGAGAGAGAGGAAGAGAGAGAGAGAGAAACATCGATGTGAAAGGGACACATCGAGTGGCTGCCACCCGCACGACCAACCAGGGCCGGGGATAAACTGCAACCAAGGTACATGCCCTTAGCGGGAACCGAACCCGGGTCTCTCCGGACCGCAGGTGGGCGCTCTAACCGCTGAGCCAAACCGGCCAGGGCCTTGGGTGAGGATTTTAAAAAGCTGATCAAGTGTGCATATACGTTGGCAAGTCACCCTTTCTGATGGAGATGGGGCTCCAGGCAGCGAGAATTCTTAGCAGTCACCGGAAATATGCTGGGCCACACCCAGGACACCCTGTGTACCCCACATTGGGATGCAAGCTGATCACTGTGGTCCAGGACACAATGAACAGAAAATAACAAGAAACTAACGCTCTCACTGTTAGTTTTGGGAACTCAGTAGGTACTTCAGCGTTGAAACCGGGCCAACAAGACCTGTTGGCCTGGGTGAGGAACAGGGGCGGCAGCTGCCCCCTTGGACCCAGACAGCACAGCCACAAGGAATGGAGGCAAGGCCTAGCTACAGAGAAGCTTCAGCTGATTCAGGACAGCCCGACCTCTCAGAAATGAGAGCCACAGACTGAGCGAGGTCATGGGTGGCTCTAAAAGGTAGTACTGCCCTGGCCGGTTTGGCTCAGCGGTTAGAGCGTCCGCCTGCGGTCCAGAGAGACCCGGGTTCGGTTCCCGCTAAGGGCATGTACCTCGGTTGCAGTTTGTCCCCGGCCCTGGTTGGTCGTGTGGGTGGCAGCCACTCGATGTGTCCCTTTCACATCGATGTTTCCCTCTCTCTCTCTTCCTCTCTCTCCCTCCCACTCTGTCTGTACAATAAATGGAAAGGTGTCCTCGGATGAGGATTAAAAAATAATAATAATAAAAAAATAAAAAATAAATAAAAGGTAGCACTGTACAGTCTCCCAGATAAAGCAACAAATGCCAACGCCCCATACCCAGTAGCCATGGTCATATAAGAAGGTCAGCTACACCGTTACTCAAGGTGACCGGACAGACTTCAGTTTCTGCCCCAGCCAGATACACGTGCTACTGCTCCAGAAGCTAAGTCAGAATATGGAATGATGATTCTATGCAACAAACACTTTATTGATCCCCTACAATGTACATAGCACACTGTCTACACTTTTCCTAGACCTAAAAACAAATTCTCTTAAAAAAAATTTTTTTTTCTTTATTGATCTTAGAGAGATAGGAAGGGAGAGGGAGAAACATGGATGAGAAAGAATATCGACTGGCCGCCTCCTGCATGCCCCCCACTGGGGATCAGGCCCACAACCTGGGCATGTGTCCTGACCGGGAATCGAACTGGAAACCTCTTGGTCCATGGGTCAATGCTGGCCGGGCAAGAATTCTCTTTAATTGAAAAATGAAAACAAAAGTCTTTTGACACACTCACCATATATATGTATCTATATTTATATAGATATATATGTCTAGGAACTTAGAATCGACTTACAAGATTGAGTTTTAAAAATTCAGGAGAGAAAAATCAGTGCAACAAATGCTAAACTACAATCGTTACTAAAGAGGTTCACTTGCAAACAGTACTACACCACGATCCTTAGAAATATTCCATTAGTAACTGATTTAGAAAGTAGTACAAGCGCTAATCTGGGAGAGGTTTTAGAAATGAATCGACTGAAATTTAATTCCGCAAACAACCATGAAACATCAGAAGAAATGCACGGGCATAATAAAATTATTTTTCAAATTACTTTCACGCAAAAGCAAAGCCTGTGACCTTCCTGAAAAGGTTTGTGTTGTCATCACTCACCAGTTGACAGCCTTCCAAGGAGCTGACTAGCTGAGCGTTCTGACAGGAGAGAATCGAACCAGCCAAATTCAGCATCACACACACGGCAGAGAGCAGCATGAAAAACGTTATCTGGAAGTGGACCAAACACAAAATTGATTATTCACTTGGAGAAGCTCAGAGGAAAAATGATCTGGCTGCAAAAACGCTCTCGGTTAATCAAATAATTACACGCAGAGCATGTTTTGAAGGGAAATCTGATTTCTCAGAATTTCAAACTCACCTTCCCTGAAATCAAAAAGAAAAGGCAAACTCTAAGAAGCCATCGTCAGTGACCATGATTTTATTTGAAATATATTGTAAGAGATTTTTAGAAGTTACACTTGAGAATACTACATATTACATAGCCTCAAAATAGTGTTATATAGTCTCAAAAGTAACAACTTATAAATTGCTAAAGAAAATCAAGTGAAAGAAGGTTATTACTTAGAAGGCCTTTATTTATTTATTTATTTATTTAGTTAGTTAGTTAGTTAGTTTAATGTAAAACTTCATACCTATGTAAAAGCAGAGAAAACAGTGTATTGAAGCCCGAGTACCCATCACCCAATCTCAACAATTAATCAATTCACGATCAGTTCTTTCACTGATACCTTTCTCCCTTTGGAAAATTTTGCAGCAAATATCAGACACTGGCTGATTTCACTCTTAAATATTTCAGTGCGTATTTCTAAAATATTGATGCTCTTTTTGCAAACATAACCAAAAACCTGCTATCACCTTTATAGTAATAATTCATTAATACCAAATGTTCAGGGTGTGCATTTCCCTAATTTTTTCGAATCGTTTCGTACTCTGAATCGGGTTGCACAGGATACAAAGGAGCTCCATATAGTACAACCCATTGTTCTGAATCTTAGATGTTTTTTAATTTATGGGTTTCCCTTCCATTGTTCTTTTTCCTTCCTTGGAATCTGAAGAAACTGGTTCATTTGTCATAGTTTCCTACAGCCTAAACGTTGCTAATTGTCCCCGTCTCTTCCCGTACCTCCATCCTCTGTATTTCTTGTAATTTGGTGCTTAGATGCAGAGGTTTGATCAAGCAGCCTAATGGAAAGTAAAGAATGTCTCTGATGCTAGCAGCCATTTTTGACGCCTGGCCCCATTCACTGATTAGTTTCCTAATTACTGCTGGTCTAAGGTCATAGTTTTTTTCTTTTTTTATTCCCAGGTTTCAGTATATAGAAGAGATGTTCCTATATCAACTGTTTTGTTACCCTAGGGTACAGTTCATATAGCAAAAGCAGGATATACATGATATTCTTTCTGCTTATTGCCTAGATTTCAAAATAATTAGCAGAGATGGTGCTAGATTGACAAAAATAAACCCAAGTCTCTATGGTTAGCTAATACTCTTGCTGCACCTATGTAAATAATCAGGCGAAATCTAATGAAACAAATCTTTGTGATCAAGAATAATCTTTAAGATTAATACACCAAGCCCAGCCCACATGGCTCAGTGGATTGAGCGTCATCTCATGGACTGAGAGGTCCAGGTTTGGTTTGATTCCCGGTCAGGGCACATGCCTGGGTTGTGGGCCCGATCCCCAGTGGGGGGTGTGCAGGAGGCAGTTGATCGATATTCTCTCTCATCCATGTTTCTATCTCTCTTTCCTTCTCCCTTCCTCTTTCTCTAAAGTCAATAAAGAAAAAAAAATTTAAATAAAAGAATAAAAACATATTTTTTTAAAAAGAGTAATATATCAAGAACGGGGACAATGTCCCAAAAACGCAATAATGGTTAACATTGGTGTTATTACACTAAACTATACCAAAAAATATTCCAAATTTAGATTAAAATTTTATCACCAGCAGACTATGATAAAGAATGTGTTATAGCCCTGGCCGGTTTGGCTCAGCAGTTAGAGCGTCGGCCTGCGGTCCAGAGAGACCCGGGTTCAGTTCCCGCTAAGGGCACATACCTGGTTGCAGTTTGTCCCCAGCCCTGGTTGGGTCGTGCAAGTGGCAACCACACGACGTGTCCCTTTCACGTCGATGTTTCTCTTTCTCTCTCTCCTTCCCTCCCTCCCACTCTATCTGAACAAAAAATGGAAAAATGTCCTCAGGTGAGGATAAAAAAAACAAAAAAAAAGAATGTATTACAAATCTAAATGCCATTTATAATTTTTCTGAACATCTCTAAGCAAGCTAGGAACAGGAGGAAAATTAAATAGCCCAAGTAAAGATATTTCTGGGGGTAAAAAACTAAGCAAATAACACACTGATGTAAAACTTTAAAAGTTACTCCTTTTAAACTCAGAAACAAAGATATCAGCCCCACCAAGTCTGTTCCATAATGTATTGTAGTACCAGCCAATGCAAAAAAAAGAAAGAAAGAAAAGAAAAAGAAGACTAAAATAGAAGGTATAAGAATTGGAGAAGAAGAGAAAAAAATGTATGATTCCACAGAATTATAGTAGCATGGTATTGGCAAATAGATAGCAAATAAACCACTTTACTTCTAGTCATCAATTTATTTATATATGAGATATTGCTATATATTATATAAAGTATATTCTAAATCTGCATGGAAAGGATAAACCATACAAAAAAATTAATGCTAGGCGATCCAATAGAAAAATTACATCCATTTCTCACACCATACACAAAGGCAGTTAAAAAATATAACTGTCCAAGTCAAAATGTTGAACACCTTAGAAGAAAATACTAGAAACTCTCTACAATATTAGAATTAGGGAGTTTTTTAAAGAGCTACACAAAAATATTCTACAGCCTTTAAAAGTAAAACACTGGCCCAGGCCAGTTTGGCTCAGCAGTTAGAGCGTCGGCCTGCGGTCCAGAGACCCGGGTTTGGTTCCCACTAAGGGGACATACCTCCGTTGCAGTTTGTCCCCGGCCCTGGTTGGGTCGTGCAGGTGGCAGCTACTCGATGTGTCCCTTTCACGTGGATGTTTCTCTCTTTCTCCCTCCCACTCTATCTGAACAAAAGAGTGGAAGAATGTCCTCAAGTGAAGATTAAAAAAATAAAATAAAAGTAAAACACTGGCCCTGGCCGGTTTGGCTCAGCAGTTAGAGCATTGGCCCTCAGACCAAAGAGTCCGGGTTTGATTCCGGCCAAGGGCATGGACCTCGGTTGCAGTTAGTCCCAAGCTCCAGTTGGGGTCGTACAGGAGGCAACCAATCAATGTGCCTCTCTCACATTGATGTTTCTCTCTCTTTTTCTTCCTCCCTCCTTCCCGCTCTATCTGAAGATAAATGGAAATATAGCCTCGGGTGAGGATTCGAAAAAAAAAAAGTAAAACACTGATGATTTTGATACATTAACATCATATTATCTGTATGACAAAAATAAAGTGAAAACATGAGAAGGTATTTGCAGTAGATATACCAGACAATGATCTGCAGAACATATAAAAAGTCTCACAAATCAATAAAAAGGTCTAACAGATAAAACAAAAACAAACCGAAAAACCTGATGGTGAAAGAAAAGAGAGACAGAGGGTAAGAAAAGATGCTTCGCCCTGGCCGGTTTGGTTCAGCGGTTAGAGCGTCGGCCTGCGGTCCGGAGAGACCCGGGTTCGGTTCCCGCTAAGGGCATGTACCTCGGTTGCAGTTTGTCCCCGGCCCTGGTCGGTCGTGTGGGTGGCAGCCACTCGATGTGTTCCTTTCATATCGATGTTTCTCTCCCTCTCTGTTCCTCTCTCTCCCTCCCACTCTACCTGAACAAAAAATAGAAAAATGTCCTCAGGTGAGGATAAAAAAAAAAAAGATGCTTCACATCACTCATGAGGCACAGGAAGGCGGGTGAGTAGAGAGAACTCTAGCCTGCTGGTAGGAGTATAACTGAACACATGCTCAGGCATAATTGGGCAACGATGCCCCATGATTGCTATTTCTGGCTGCAGATGCTCTCACACATGTGGTTAGGGAAGCACTGTGTATACTGCCTGCAAATAGCAAAAAATTAGAAATAACCTGTCTAACCGTTAGGGAATAGATAAACAAATTGTTATTCCCTCTCCTCCCAACTGAAAGGACAAATCAAATGAATGAATCAGATCTACCTGGCTAAGTCTCCAAAACAATGTCGAGTAAAATAGCAAGTTACACAAGGACATAGTATAATACCAAGTTTTAAGCTGAAAAATCTCACAAAACACTCCATGTAACGTTCATGTGCGTATATGTATAAAGTATTAAATCCTGCAGTAGCACGAGACCCACAATCCCCCGACACATCTGGGGAGGGTGAGAAGATCCCAGATTTGGTCTATAATGTTTTCTATTTTAAGATCTGAAACAACCTGGTAATTCACTGATGGTAAATTGTTAACATCCCTATGAGAAAAGTGGGGAGAAGATAATGTGTTTCAGCTATAACTGAAAATGGGCACTGGGTTATGACAATTTTCACCATTTACTGACGAAAATGGCAGTATTAGGTACACCAGAGGGGAAGGCAGCCAGTGAGGCAGAGGACGAGTCAGCAGGATGCGTGGCCAGAAATAAAATGCAAAAGAAAAAATGTCTTCAAGGACCAACTATATTCATTCCATTGATGAAATAAATGCAAATTCCAATTCAAAAGAATGAAATAAAACCCAGTAACCTACCATATTTCTTCTAGATGTTTCTAGATGACGGTGTTGATCTAGTTCACTTTTTTAAGGTAAGCTATTTACCTCATTTCATGGTTAATTTGCGGTCTCTTCCCCCAAAAACAATTGTAGCCATTCACCCACTGAATAATCCTTTGTTGAATCTCTGTAAATAAACAGCATTTAACCGGAAGCTATGGACCTCTTTTCTTCAGGTTAATTTAATCCATAAAGCAAACTATAATATAGCTGTTATTTTTTTCCCATTTTGCAGATAAATTGACATTCAGAGTTGAAAACCTACCCCAAATCACCATACTGACATAACACGAGTCATAATTCAAAACCTATACCTTTTTTACTGCCCTGCAATGACTCTAAAAGCCCAGGGGAGATCTTTTTTAAAAATCCCCACCTGAAGATATTTTTCTCTTTATCATCAGATAGAGCGGGAGGGAGAATCATCAATGTGAGAGGGACACATCAACTGGTTGCCTCTGGCACGACCCGACCAGGGCTGGGGATGAACCTCAATCCAGGTACATGCCGTTGACCTGAATCGAACCCATGACTCATTGGTCCGTGGGCCAACGCTCTAACCACTGAGCAAACCAGCCAGGGCACAGGGGAGAATCTTAACATCTAACTTCCCTGCTCTCACCATTTTATATGGGCTCTACTCCCTGGATACCATGAATTAAGTTTTTTCATAAAACCATACAATAGTATGACTAGAAAAATATTGCCATAACTTCTGAACCAGTGACTGTAATTCTAGGAATGACTTAGAGCAAGATCATAAAAGAAAACCTTAAAATAAAAAGTTTGTTAACTGCTCCAGACCAAAGGAAATAAAAAACATGTTTTTAAGAAATTTAAGGAACAAAGTAATAACAAAAAGCCTGCCCACCAGGCACAATGCCAAAAATCACATATTCTTCCATATCTAAATGTCACACTAGCAACATAATATGGGCATCATCAGCCCGTCTCATAGGTGAGGAAACACCTGTAAGCAGGTAACCTGTCTAAATGTAAGTAGCTGGGTGGGTGGAGCCTGAATCTGAACCCAGGTAGTCGGCTTCCCAAGTAGGCACAGTTGATCGCTAAGGTTTTATAAACATGTTTTGTGACTCACGGTAAGAGAAATATATTTTACATTACAATCCAAGCTGAACACACATATGAGAAATAAAGCAACTTCTACGAAACACTATTTACCTTAGTAGCAAAAACTGTCTTTTTTTAAATGTCAATTTTGAGTCATGACTCACACTTTTAAAAATGCACAATACTTAGCTGCTTCAAAGATATAGTATTTATTATAACTATAGTAGCAACAACCAAAAAAGCTAAATGAAACTAAATGGTTAGCCACAGAGCTGAATAATAATTATGAATTTTAAAAAATGTTATTCAGATAAAATACAATTTTCTTACACTGATGAATAACGCTTATACACGTAGAAAACATAAAATAGCTGTGCTAAGGCAAGAAAGGATACAGGCAATTATATTTTTACTTATGAAGGTTTTTATTTTTCCATACAAACTGGGGTATTTAAGAGGCCATATAACAGCCACTTTGCTTTTATCTACTTGGCACCAAAGCAATTCACTGATGTGTTCTTTGCTCCAAGGTACAAAACCTTCCAATTCATTTTATAAAGCTAACCAAATTTTCACACACACAACACAGACAGTAAAACAAAATAAATCCTCTCCTCCTATTTCTATAATTGAACACGTATTACCAAATACTTTATAACAAACAGTGAGAACGAATGTTTGCAAAAACATCCTAAAAGTTACACACGTTTAAACTTTACAGAAATACACTCCCTCCCACCGACACCCCTTCAGGCCGGTGCCTTTGACACTCCCCCTCAGGGTCCCCAGGAGTCCCCCGGAATCGAAGATTTCAAGACGAGGCGGCTGGGGCGCTGGCCTGAGGCCTGGCCCGGTCCTCCTCCTCCGCCAGAGCCTCGCAGTACTGCGCTGGCCAGTCTTTGGGGTCCTGATTGTGGACTTTGGCCACAAACTTCAACACTTTCATCTTGCTGGTCTCCAGGCTGGTGCGCGGGCCCCACTGCAGTTCATAGTCCACGGGGTCGGTGTGCGGGATCCGCCGGTACTCCAGGTAACGCTGCCGAACAAAGTCTTCCGTAATGAGCTTCTTGGGGTCGCCAAAAATGAGATGCTTCTTGGTGGGGAACACCCCGAGGCGCCGCAGGAAGTCCCAGACCTCGGTCTCCTTGACGGTGTTGCCTTTCATGAAGATGAGCCCCAGCACGATCATCAGGAGGCCGGTGGTGGGCGTGCCCTGGTCGCCGCGCACCTCCGCGTCCTCCTCCACGGGCTCCAGGGTGTTGATGAGGATGTAGGTGCTGCTCTTGGGCTCCAGCTCCACCAGCTTGTACCCGAAGACGTACTGGAGGCGCTCGGCCGCCAGTCGGAGCAGGTCGGGGAACAGGTCCCTGTAGTCCCCGAGGACGTGCTTCACGATGTCGCTCCGCTTGATCGGGATCTTCTTCTGGTCCTTAATCAGCAGGAACTGCACCAGCTCGGCCACCTTCAGCTCCAGCTGCTTCTGGGACCTGGGCCCCGCCGCGGGGGACGCCCCGGCCCGGCGGGCGCCCTGCGAGGAGGCGCTGCGGGGCTCCTGCGAGCCGCCCGCCCCGCGGGAGGTGCTCGGGGCCTCCTCGGCGACGCCGCTTCTGGAGGCCCGGCTGTCCCCGCCGCGGCCCCAGTCCCTGTCGGCCTGGGAGCTGGGGCGGCCCCGGCTCCGCGGCTTCTGCAACATGTCACCGGCAGTACGCGCCCGTTCAGGCCGGGAGCTCCGGGTACCGGCGGCGGAGACCCGACAGCGGCGCGCTGCGGATTGTGGGTCGGCGCGCCGTACGCCTGGGCGGGGCCAGAGGCGCGCGTTGCGTCACAGAGGCCGCGCCCCGCACCGATGGGCGGGAACTGCGCGGTGCGTCACAGGGACGACGTGCTGCGTCCTCGGCGTCTGCCCAGCCGCCGCCAGGTGACTGCAGCGCGTCGGTGAGGCAGGGGCGTCCTTGCACACCAGGCCCACAGCGAACAGGAACCGGAACGAACTGAGTGTGCGGTAAGTTCAGGCCCGGGAGAGTGACCCAGATCGCGAATATCAAGAGTCTTCAAGTTGGGAATGTTGTATACATGGAGGGGACTCCATGAATGTGGAAGAATAAAGTGGACGGAAAGGCAAGAGCCTGGAGGGGGCGTGAACGCATTTCCTTCTGCACGAAGCTGGACCACAATGAATAAAAGACCCAGAGGATGCCCAGTGGGCTTTGCCTTCGCCACTCCCTCCCCATGCCGCAGTTTACCATGTTTTCCCTGTTTCAGTCTTTATATTTTTGCATTCAACTCCCATCAGCTAGAAGGCGACGACCAAACCCGACGACCAAACCCACTGCCTAGAGCACGGTTCAGCGGCCTGTCAAGAGAGTTTATCTTTTGGAAAGCACGTGTAAACTGCCTTGGGCCCACAACCACAATTTTTAGCAGAAATGGAAAAGAAGAATGCTGCAAACAGAAACGAGCTCTCTTAAGAGGTTACCATTTAATTTTGCATCAATGATCAAGAACTGCAATAATGTGAATCTCTTGAATTTCATAATTCTTACTATATCAGCCTTAGGGCTTGATAAGAAAGGAGAGAACCCAGAGATGTCATCCCTCCTGATCTGTGATGTGTGCACTGTGTACATATATATTTTTAATTGCGCAACTCTTAATAGCCAACATGAGTCATTTTATTAACTCAAACTATCCGTAATCTTCTGCCATTACTTCTACAGATCTTAGCAAATGTGTTCCTTTCCTATTTACTGACTTACAAAGAAGAAACTGGATTTACCTGTTTTGTTGTGTTATTTTTAAAGTTACCCAGAAAATGGGTAAACTCTTTAAACAACAAAATCAAACTCAGTTCCTCTTTGGTGCAAATATATTCAAAGGAAAGCAATTCAAAACACATTATTTGAATAACAGCATCAAAACACAATCTTATTAGCCCTGGCCAGGTGGCTGCCTTGGTTGGGCATCATCCCTTGCACTGGAAGGGTTGCAGGTTCGATTCCTGATCAGGGCACATACCCAGGTTTCAGGTTCGATCCCTGGTTGGGGTACACAACTGATCGATGTTTCTCACACTGATATTTCTCTCCCTCTCCTTTCTCCTCTCTCTAAAATCAATAAACATAGCCTCACATGAGGTTTTAGAACAAAAAAAGGCATTACCAGAAGTAATTGGACAAAAAAGATGGGACAAATAAGGCCTGGGTTAGGAACAGGCAAAGAACAAACCCTGGCCCATTTAGCCCAGCGGTTAAAGTGTCGGCCCACGGACCAGAGAGTCCTGGGTTCCCTAGGGGCATGTGCCTCGGTTGCAGTTTGTCCCAAACCTGGTTGGGGTCATGGGGTGGCAGCCACTTCATGTGTCTCTCTCACATCGATGTTTCTCTCTCTCTCGCTTCCTCCCTCTTTCCCTCCTGCTCTATCTGAGGATAAATGCAAAAATGTCCTTGGTGAGGATAAAAAAAAAAAAAAGATGGTAGGGACCCTGTAACATCAGGGGAAAACAGCCACCTTATAAATACAAATGTGGCAGACACAATCATTGCCCTGACAATGAAGAGAGAAAGCCCCACCACGGGTGAGAGCCACATGCATCTGGGAAGGAAGAAAGAGCAGAGGAGCACCTGATGCTGCACCTGGTCCAGCTGCCTGGGCTGCGGAGGGACAACCCTAAAGGCATGAGAGATGAAGGAGCTTGCTTTTCCAGAGCATTCCTGCTCCTCAAGGTTGGCAGCATCATCCCTTAATCTAGTTGGAGAAACCAGGGCATCTTTCTTTCTTGAGGAGAATGATTTTATGAATCCCACAAGTCTGAGAAGAGGTGGTGTGGGGAAAAAGCAAATCTGAGCTCATTAACTGCTTCCTGGGATCCAATCAGTCATTAAAAATGTGCTGATGAAATTTTCTTGGCCTGCTCGATTGTTTATAATTATCCAGTGGCTCACTGCTCATAAGTGTTTTCCTTTCCCATTTACCTCTGAGCAAATTACCTAATTCACTGTGGTTATTATTCTGGACATTTAAAGACTGTACATTGGAAAATTTCACACAGAAATTCATGTGGGTACATCTGTTATGCTTATACTCTACTTAATCCTTTGTGCCCAAGTGTGATTATTACATACAGTTTATAGAAATCCAGCCCCACTCATTGCCGTTTAATATCAACATCCATTTACATTTTTACTTCATTAATCTTACTCCAGATGACATTTTCTATATGTATAAATTACACAACCCAAATAACAAGTGCCTGGGTGAGGAGTGGACATGTGACCCAATTCTGGCCAGTGAGATGTAAGGAATATCTGGGGGGCGGCTTCTGAGAAATGTTTACTTGCTGTCAAAAAGAGGTTCACGGGAAAACATTCCTCTTCTAGGCATTGTGCATCTGTGTCAATCATCTTGTGACCAAGCCAACACATCCCACATTGAAAGGTGCCGAACCGGAAGCTGGACAGGGTCTGGGTCCTTGGTGTCCTCACTAGGCTGCTGAGCCAGCGAACTCTGGGCAGCCCACCTCGGGACACATTGAGATAATAACTTCCTCTGTTGTTTACACTTTTTTGATCCGAGTGTCATACACTCTAAGCCAAAAGCATCCCAGTTGACATCTATAGATGCGGTTGTCCCAGCACCTGGTTGTTGACAGATTTCACCTGGTAAAGCCAGGGTCCCAGTCACTGGCTCACACCAGCCCCTCACCTGGTTTGGAGATCTACAGACATTTGAACATCAGCTTGAAACGCTGCTGAAGTTCAGGTCCAGGTACAAGACCAGAAGTTGGTAGGCAGCCTCCCTTCCTGTGGCAAAGACACATTTTGATGTTATGGGGGACCTGGGAAGGGGGAGGATCTAGGGTTTTCCCAGAGCCTGTAGGTTAGAAAGGCAGAACTTATTTAGAGGTCTTGAAGGTGGATCCTCATCTTTCATGGACATCATCCTGGCTTAAGTGACACCTGTCCTCACTGAGCAGTTCACTGCCGGGACCTCGGATCGCACACGGCCCCTGCTGCTCCTCAACCTGCTCTGTCTTTCCAGCAAGGTCATCACTTCCGTACCCACCTGACGGACCAGCACCATCCCGCAGGGGACTGAGCCTTCAGTACCCTCTCATCTTGCCCGTAGCTGGGCCCTGACCCGAGACCTTACTCAATGCTACAATCTTGGTCCCTGGGGTTCTTGGAAGGAGAGGACAGAAGGTTATGACCTGAGGTTCTGGGGGTTTTCAGGAGCGAGGGTCTGTTTTTGTTGCCTGGATTCAGGTAGCACCCCTATGTAGCCCTGCTCCCTGCCTAGAACTGGTCCTAACAGGAGCCCCACGTTTCTTGTCTCCTGTGGCTACTGACGATGCCTGGGGTGAGGGTGTGTCCAGAGACCAGCCCACTGGTGCTCCCCATGGCCTACGGTAGATGAGTCAAGATCAGGGATCAGAGACTACAGGTCAAAGGTCAGGGAGTCCTGAGAAAGGCTGCATCTCTGGGAGGGTCCAGCATGAACAGCCATGTAGGCCAGAGTGGGGTCAGCCGACTGGTTGCGGGGACATCCAAGCAGCAGAGAAGAGGCCTGTCTGGCCCACCTGAGCTGTCAGTTCTGGGAGGACTCAGCTGCCCACTTTGAAAGAAAAGTTGGAAGGTGAGACTGAAGACGATCTACCTCTATTTGATACAAAAAGCGGCCCCTAGCCTGGCTGGTGTGGCCCAGTGAACTGAGCACTGTCCCATGAACTGAGAGGTCCAGTTGGATTCCGGTGAGGGCACATGCCAGGGTTGGGGGCTCGATCCCCAATAGGGAGCGTGTAGAAGGCAGCCAACTAATGTTTTTCTCTCTCTCTCTCAAAATTCAATTAAAACATTCTTTTTAAAGTGAAAAGAAAAGAAAAAACGGACCCTATACCCATTTCTTTATTTTTCCCTTTATTGATTTTAGAGAGAGGAAAGGAGAGGGAGGGAGAGAGAGAAACATCGATGAGCGAGAGTATCAATTGGCCGCCTCCTACATGCCCTGCAGTGGGGACCTGGCCCATAACCCGGGCATGTGCCCTGATCGGGAATCAAACCTCTTGATGCTTGGTTGGTGCTTGGGTCAAGGCTCAATTACTGAGCCACACTGGCTGGGCCCTATCCCCATTTCAACCCCCACCCTACCATATCCAAAACTAGACCATGTGGTCTGCCAGCCCACTGCCACAGGGGAAAGCCATCCACTCTATCTGTGCCCATCTCTTCTGTCAATGTACCCCGGCCTGAAGAGGTTCACAGCTGTCCTGGCCACTAGCTGGACCCACACCAGCCCGGCAAGATGACTCGCGGAAGCAAACTCACACGCCCAAGAAGCGCAGTGGTCTGAAGGAGACAAATTCTAGAACAGATGGCTACTATGGAGCAGAATTGACGGAGGAAACAGAAATAGACCGTACGATAAAAACATAATGAGAACAGAAGGCGAGGGGAGCACAGCACAACAACACACTTCTCGAGCACACCATGCCATTTTTTTTGTTAATCCTCACCCAAGGATATTTTTCCTATTGATTTTTAGAGTGGAAGAGAGAGAGAAACATGGATGTGAGAGAGACACATACACGGGTTGCCTCCCGAACCACCCCAACTGGGGCCAGAGGTTGAACCTGCAACCCAGGTACATGCCCTTGACCATAAATCAAACCCGAGACCCTCTGGTCTGCAGGCCAACGCTCTAACCGCTGAGCAACACTGGCCAGGGCCAGAGTCATGCCTTTTTCATTTCAAATGTTCACAGAGGTGCTGTAACACA